AGCAGACGAAGACAAAGAGTGGAGGAAGGAGACAGACAAGGAGAGAGAGAGAAACAGAGGACAAGAAAAAGAGAGAAAAAATAACATCACCATCACCCTCTTCTTCTTTAAAGCTTGTGCCATGCAAAAAGGTTTTCACTCTTTTTGGCTTTTTAAAGTGTGTTTCTAATTACTGGGGGTAGAATTCTGGATTTCCAGGTTTGTAAGACTTAGGTCTGTGAAATGTATACATTTAATATTGTGTTGTGTAATTGTTATTTTATTGTTAAAACAATTACACAATTTAGGACATTTATTTGTCATTTAAGGACATTAGCTTTATTTTGCCGAAATCAAATCAAGCAACAACAAAATAACAGTAAGGCAGACAGTATACAGTATAATTATCTAGCTAATTGTCTAACTCGGACTCCATCAGGCCTCCGTCTTGTCACCACTCCTGTTTGTGGTGTTCATGGACAGGATATCAAGGCACAGCTGAGGATATGAGGGTGTCTGGTGGGGGGTTTTACTAAGGGTGGCATTTCTGCTATTTGCAGATGATGTTGTCCTTTTGGTATCATCTGACTTTGACCTTTGGCTTGCACTTGAGCGATTTGCTGCCGAGTGTGAAGCAGCTGGGATGAGAATCAGCACCTCCAAGACTGAGGTCATGGTTCTCTTCTGGAAATGAGTGGATTGCTCTCTCCAGGTGAGTAAAAAATAAGTCTCAGCAATGCAATGAAAATAAAGACTTACATGTAGAAACTTTAACAGCAAAAAGTCTCAACATTTCCTGTCTGTATCCTATTATTTATGGGTGGAAACGTTACTTCTGATGAAGACTGAAATAAATTTGATCTCAGTTTAATGTAAAAATCATTACATCTTATTTTTTCTGAGAAATTGAACCAAGAAATTGATTTGGGTCTTTAAAATTTCTTGAGAAAACAGTGTTAAAACAGAATGACAATGTCTTCTTGGACAACTTGCTGCTATTTTATTTAGTAATAATCCTGGATCCTTTCACCTTGAGAGGGGGAAGACCCTTCTCTTTTTCAGGGTTTTAATTAAACTGTTCCTGATCTCTTTGGTCTGCAAACAATAGATGATGGGGTTCATGAGGGGAGGGAAGACATTCTGAAATACTGCTGCCATGATGCGCAAATCTGCTGAAGCTCCAGGTACCCTGTAGGAGATGTAGACACAGGTTGCTGTGAGAAAAAAGACAGAGATGACCAGCAGGTGTGATGTGCAGGTGGAGAAAGCTTTGCTCTTCCCCTCAGAGGTGGAGATCTGCAGCACAGACTTAATGATCATCACATAGGAGAGCAGGATCAGGAACAGAGGGATGAGAAGCACACACAACGCTATGGTCAATCCCAGAATGCTGTTGATGACAACATTCGCACATGCTAATCTGAGAACTGAGGAATGATCACACCAGCAGTGGAGAATTTTGTCAGGTCCACAGAAGGGGAGCCTCACAGCAAGTATCGTAGGAATAATCAACGAAAGAAATCCACCAATGCAGCACCACACAACATGTCTAATGGCCAGGCTGTTTGTAATTTTACTGTGGTAGTGCAGTGGCTTACAGATTGCTAGGTATCTGTCGTAAGCCATAACTGTGAGAAGAAATCCTTCAGCTATACCCAAACTCATGAAAAGGAACATCTGGATAAAACAGGAATCAAATGAAATTAAGTTTGAATCAAACATGAATATAGCTAACATTTTAGGAACAGTGATGGAGGGGAAAGAAATATCAAAAATTGCTAGACTGCAGATCAATAAATACATGGGAGTGTGAAGAGATTCATCAAAGACAAATATGAGTATGATCAACAGGTTTCCCAGTACAATGATGATGTAAGCTACCAGGAATACAAAAAAGAGGATGGTTTTGCTCCCCTGGTCTTGTAGTCCAGGAAAACCGACGATTATGAATTCTGTGACTGATGATCCTGTGTGGTTAGTAGCAGACATCACTGCCTTTTAAAACAAATTCCATTGAGGAAACAAGAAATCCTGTGAAAATAGTAACAAAATTAAAAAAAAATAAAACTTGAAGAGATGCAGACAAATTATTTTTAAACCAATGATAAATTGAAATAAATTCATATCCCTAAATATCATATTTTCTAAGAAAAGGTCACATTCATTCTCTATGAATACAATTCATATCCTTCTTAGTTTTTAAGTAAGATTTAGACTGAGTATAAGTCAATCTAGTAAATATTAGCAACATGAGAATCATCAATTATAAAAATAATCAAAAGCTACATTTATACCTGTGAATAAGGTCAATGGTTTAATTTCTGTAGAATTCATGTCCAGTACAAAAAGCTGTATGTATCAAATAACTGTGGGTGACTGTTACCTTGTATTAGGTTGTTTATTCAAATAAAACAATTGAATTTGCTCTAAATGCTCCTTATCTGCTTTCAACACTTAAAAACAGTGTAAGTTTTTGATTTTATAATTAGCTAAAGATTTTAGTAGTTTTCCAAACAAAAAAAAATAATGCCTTGTAATTAAGGAACTACAATGTATATAGTCTTTCAAAATGTGTGAAAAAGTATACTTAGTCACATTGGCAAGACAATCTTATTGTTCATCTGAACACATATGCGACTCATTTTATATTTCTGTGCCTGAAATATAAAATATATTTCCCCTAGTACAGTACGCGATAAACTGACTAAGCCAATTATAATCTTACCTTGATGCAGATCTCAGAAAATCAGGAGAGGAAATGCAATCAACACTGAGAGTGAAATTTTTTTATCATGCTTTCTGGTCCTGTGAGGCATGATCAAGTGAGTTCATAGTGTGCTAAAAGAGGAAATTACATCTATCCAGAGGATCTCTTACAGCCCCAGAGCAGACCCTGCCAATCAATTTGTGCTGCTACTTGCTGCTTTCTAACTAATTTTTACCTACATTCTACTATTAGGCAGGTTTGGACAAGGACATAGGCCTCTTGAATGCATTAATTTGTATATTTGTGTTTTTGCAAGGGGTATAAAAAAAATGTTATTTGAACAAAATTAAAATAAGTAAGTTAGTACAAGAACAAAATTATCATCTCTTAGCGATACTGTTGTATTTGGTAAAAAAAAGCTGTTACTTTGACTTGATTATTTTGCTACTTAATTTAATAATTTTATTACAATAGTGAGACAGTATTTTAATATACTTTCAATAATTTAGTTCTAGGCGAATGTAATAATAGTTCTATCTGCTTTGCAATAGTGGATTTTCCTTTAAAAAAGAGTTGGCCTCTGTTGGCCTTTTTTTCAAAACGTGTCTCATTGTCCCATTTATTTCGTCCCGTCTTAGGTTTGTGTCTATGAGTCCAGTCCCAAGTACTTGTAGTCATTGGCAATGTCTGCAATTTGACTGTTAATTACAGTAAGTTTGAAGTGTCTTCAATATTTCTTAAAATAATAGTGTAACATGTCTCCAAATCTTTGAGCTGACGTTGCCATTAACTGCAACGGAGAAATACTCCAACCAGCGCGTTGCTCCGCCTGTCGTCGGAGGTGGGGGGGGAGAACAAAGTAATGTAGCCAATTCATATAGGGGGATTATTTGGCCAGGACACCCCTACTCTTTTCAAGAAGCACCCTGGGGTTTTCAATGACCACAGAGAGTCAAGTTTTACATCTCA